ACTCAGATGATCTGCCAAAAACAGGCATCAGAGAGTCTCTTTCATTACAACCTTAAACCAGTTCCCTTTAAAATACAAATGGTATTTAGTGGATCTCAGTATTATCCATCCTTCTCCTCCATGTCTTCACAATCGATGGAAAGACTGTCACTGATTTTCATCAGATTTTTTCTCTCACAATCACTATTTCCTGACACTCCTACAAATCCAAGCATCTTGCATCTTAAACACCCCTCCCTTCTTGTATTTCTCCTGCCTCTATCTGCTCCTCTTCCCAAAGTTTATTCTTCTATCGCTTTTTTACATCACTCTTATCACATTAACTTGTAAGGTTGTCTCCAAGAAATTAACTGCCTCAAGGCAGATCTTTCTGCTTCCTCCTAATGCTTAATCTCTGATCATATCTTGGTTTTATAATCCCTATTAAGTCTTTTATTAGCTTTTGCTTTTATTACTCCTATAATCATGAAACACAATATGTTGGACTTTGCTCTTGTATAACAGTTGGTCATTCTAAAAATATCAGGTCTGTGGCTTTTTACATTCTCTTCATTTAATGCTTTTTCAGCCACTATAACATTAGTAACAAGATAAGTACTTTATGCTTATGAACTTCTTGCAGCAAGAACAGAGAGAAACACACACCTTCCCACATCCTAAATATTTCTGCTAATACACATCCCTTTGCATTTTCCACCATGTGGGAGGGCAGGCAAGTTCCACAAGAAGCCACATGAGGAGCAGAAGTTGTGGCAATACCTGGGAAGTGTGTTTAAAAGAAAGAGTAATTAAGTGTTCAAGTTCTATACAGCTGATGGGAAATTCAGACCATAAAATGTTGTTTCTTTGAAAATCTTGTCTCTGCTTTACCCTTGACAAATGGAACCCCAACGCACAGAGGTATTTGCCAATGGCCTCACTGCCCTTGGGATTAAGACATGGATAACAGCACCCAATCCCAGGGCTGGCAGCTCCCACAGCTGGCTGCTGAAGCACCACCCAAGCACAGCAATACACACAATCCCTGTCAGCCACCTGCACAGCACAGAGCACGCTGTGGGACAAGGAACAAGTCCCCAGTGCCAGAGAGGACGCAGGGTCATTTGCTCACCTGTGTGAGCAAATGCATCTCAGATGCTTAGATAATCTAGGAAGTGAAAGAATCATCCTTTTGCTATCAAACCTCAGAACACTCCTCTGATGTATATTCTGTTCCACAGATAGGAGAGGTGAATCTCTGTGTAACCATGAACTGTCAAAGCTAAAGGAAATCTGAGCAGGGCACTGACTCGTGAGTGCCCACCTGTCCAGCAGGAAACCCATCCCATAGATCATTGGTGCCTGCTGGATCCAGAGCAGGAAGCAGCGCCACTGTGGGAGAAAGATGACCAAGCCTCACTGAAGCCCAAAACTGAAAGCACTGGGATATGTGCCATGTATTACTGGAGGTGCAGACCTACAGTTAGTGAGACTGGTCAGATTCCAACCATTTCTGATCCAACAGAAATCTTCCCTACCTCCATTTCCCGTATCTGTCCCCATACATGACCCCTGTCCCTCTCGAGATGGGCTGAAAGCCAAGCCCTCTCTAGCCCTACACAAGCAACTAGAACACCTCACTGGGACCTGGGAGTGTGGGCACAGACAGCATTTGTTACTCTGCCTGGTGATCTACCTGCCTGAAGTGCCAGTGGCCACATCCACGGCAGAACTGCCTCTCCTCTTCCTCACATTTTTAGTTGAGGGTATTTTACTTTCACTTTGAATAGAAAGTAAAATTTAAAAATAGAATCCAGAAGGATGTATGGAGTTTGTACAGCAAGAGGGTAGACTGAGCACATGAAAAATGAGACCACACAAAGGCACAAAAAGAAAAAGCAAGAGAAAAAGTCTCAAAATGATAAGGAAGGGCTTCTACCAATAAGACAATACGATTGAGCAGCCCAAGCAGAAAGCAGTGATGACAGTGATTGCTGATGCTGCAGAGCGGGACTGGCCCACATTAGGTTAAGTAAGCTGGAGACCAGCCAGTATCATTGAACAAATGGCACAGCACATTCCACAGAAATCTGAGGAGAGATTACCAATATCTTAAAGGTGACCTTTCACAGATGCTATCCCAGCAAATCAGGCAATTCTCCTGGCTGTAATGGACGAGATCAGCAGAGGCCAGTCTCCTGAAGTTATGCACTCTTCATACAAATAGGATTTTTATTTTTAAATTTAATATCAATTGACTGCACCTCATTTGAGCAAAGTACCCTAAGTGCTTTATTGGTTTGTTTCACCCCTTCTCCATTTTAAAGAAAACATAATCTAACTTTCATTATCATCCAGGCAGGAAGCAAGACAAAAAAAGAACCCTAATTTTTAGCCATACTGTCTATTAAAAATGTAAAATGTTTCCTAAAAGGGCAGGTACATTAATTAGGCTGCCTCAGGATAAATGAAAATTACTAAGAGTGCTCTGCTTTCCTGGATGAGTTTTCCATAGATTATTTATAATTGAATGAAATCAATTACAGTATTTGTAATGGAAATTGTATGTAAGTTAAACATCTCCACTTTTGCAGAAGCTGAAGAGCACACTGCATGGATCGAGAAAGATCTCCACATATTTTTGAAGGGAAAAGAGAAATTATCTTTTCTAGGGGAAAAAAATAATCCTATAAGTGAAACAAGCAGGAAATACAAATCAAATGGCCCCAGTGTCACTGAGAGTCCAAGCCTGGATTCTGAGAAGCCATCTCCAGCTGGAAATCCTGAAGCTGAGGACTCTTTTCCGTTTCTTCAGAGAGGGAAATACAGCTTAATTAGGCTCAATTTTCTAAATAATGTTTATCCTCTGTAACTAATCAGGAAAACTTTAAATCAGTATCAGATTAATGCTTGTTCAAATAGTGAAACATGCTCTATGTTCCAAATACAATCTTACCCTGCTGACAATTGAAAGGGCTGAGGGTAACGCACACTGGCACAGTTTTTATCGTAAAACAGAAAACATCTTTGCCATCCTACTGAGCAGTCCCTAAAACAACACGTATTTTGCTCATGGAGATCTCACCAGTGAGACAAGATAAAAGATAATTTTGGGGAAAAAAGAATTAATGAAGTTTCAAACACAACAGCGCATTCTGAATTCATTCTGAATGAAAGAAGGAAAATGTTTAAACATACTGCTAGGGAATGGAAAAAGTCCCAAATAAAATTAATTGAATCATCATTAAAGAGAATCCTGAGCCTGAAAGATGCTTCAGAGAGAATTCTACTTCCAAGTCACCTGAAAGCAACACACTCGTTGAGTTCATCCACCATTATCCAATATTCACCTGGATTACGAATTTTACCCCTCAGTAAGCTAAACAAGTGCATGTGAACTATGAGGCTGACAAATGCAATGCAGAGTTATGCTTTAGCATCAGATATCACAACAAATATGTCAGACCACTTTTGCTGCTAGTAGTCAGAAAGCTGAACTTGATTCCTAATTACTCCTGTGTAATCAGCAATGAAGCTGTGGAATGATATGAGATATCCATCTATAGTCATAAAAAGTCAATATACAGTAATAATGTACTCTGATTTTTAGTTCCTCTCTAGACTCATATAAAAACAACTTACAAGTGAAAATAAGGGCAGATGCCTGAACACTGTTCATTACATGTTCCAAGTTTTACACTGCCCTAACAGATACATGGTGACACTACTAGACATTATCACCATGAAGACCTGCAATGCAAGCAGGCTCCAATGCCTGCTGTGCACTATTCAAGAACCTGGAAAAATCTTTTCTTAGAAATTTTTTGTATTTATCCCTGGATGTCAGATAAACCAGCAGACACGAGTGTCATTCATGAAAAGGAAAGGACAACTGAAGCAACATAAACAGAGCAATATCCAGTGAAATTTTATCAGATTACTGGAAGTGCTTGGGGTTTTTTATAATCTACATATCGTACTGATCATAAATCTCTGGGCTCAGTCAAGTGTTCTACAGTAGACAGCTGCAATATTAGGGATCTTGGAAGGTTGCAAGCACACAAGCATTCTTCCCCTATAAAAACACTTCCCTAGTTTAGAATACCCTCTGCCACAGCCTCTTTCTGTAGACCTTCTAGACTGTTTTTTCTCTTATGTGAATATGATGACCAGAGTTCTGCACAGTAATTAAATTTTTTGATTTGTGCATTTTCTTCTTATTTGTTTTCTGCAAGAATTCCTTTATTTCCAAGACAGGCAAACCCGTCTGCATTTCTAAGATTAGTCTTTACCCTGCTTAAGGCCACACTGCTACATTTTTTTTTTTCCATTGACAGTTGTGTTGAACTTCATACCAGATGTAGTCAGCTGCATCATTAGTTATTTCAGTCATTTCTGGTCTAATCTTCAACACCTTGAGAGAACACCTGCCCGTCATATGCTGCAATTATTTATGTGGATCTGCTTTAAGTGCATTTTTATCCTTTACTTACATAAAGGCTGTCAACTAAGTTTGAATTTTTTCATGCTCTTTTCCCAGCTTCTGTAGGATGGGTGTACTTATTATAGACCTGTACTACCTTCCTGATGTCTCAGTCAACACAAAAGTAAAGGGACTGTAAATCTGTGAAAGTTAATTTCTTTGCTTTTATTTAGAAACTTGCTTTTCTAGACCCTTAGAGCAATTCCTGAAGAATGTCCCCACATGCCAGGGAAACACTTACTCGTTATCAAGTATAACAGACCCCAAATTTTTGCTTAGAAAACTGTGCAGCCAAGGCAGAGCTCCATGCTTTACAGTGTTGCTTCTCAAGAAACAAACTCCCCCCCAACCCTCTCATTTCAGAGCAGACCCTACTGAACCCCATGATAATTGCCTGTAATGTTCTCATGTACTACCAAACAAAGATCTAGTTGAAGACTAAAAATTGATGCAAAGACAACACCAACTCCTTTAAATGTTTATCCACCAAATAAGGAAACTGATAAATGGGAGTAGCAAATAATCAGAGAGTACTTACTGTGGCGGAGAGCTGTGGCCCATTGAGCTGTGCGTGAAGGATGGCTTCATTGATGGAGTTCCACATTCCCGACAGTGCAATTTCCAGATCATGCGAGGTAGCCATTTCATTAGTGAGATATTCCAGCGTGGAGATGTACTCCCTCCATTGCGCATCCAGCTCTGACACGCTGGCCAGGCAGCCCCTCATTACATTCAGACAGTAGCCGACGCAGGGTCTGATGAGCGTCAGGCCCTGGCAGTGTGGGCAGTACTGCATCTTCACCAGGGCTCTGCTGCACTCCTTCGTCAGAGCCGCGTGTTCAGTAGTATTTATCACTTCAATGCCCAGGCTCAGGGCCTGGCTGAGCATCCGACTGGCCCAAAGAGATTTTGACAGCTCTGTAACCATGTTTTTAGAATAGTGTCCAAAAGGATTTATGTCTTGCCTTGTGAGACGCAGACACTCTGTATAGTCCTCTGATAGATCTGTAATTCCTGGGTTTATTAGCCGACTATACACCAGAGGAAAGAGACTGTCAAAGAACCGCAATACTGCACTTTCCACTGTAGTCTCTGCGCCCAGAATGTAGAGAGAGATGTCTGTAAAAAGCTCCTTAACAGGCTCTGCTGCTTCTCTTGCCATGGGTCTGTAAGCTGTCTCAAACAGGGAGCTTGTGCGGTTTTCAGCAAAGCGAAGCAAAGACTCAAAGGCCTCTAAAACAGGGGCAGAGGAGAGAAAGAATTAGAGGTTAACAGCAGGCACAATCTCAGTCACAGGACTAACACTGTCCTGAACAGGAACACCAACAGTTACATGGAATCTGCAATATGATTACAGTAATACAGTTTTCACCAGTAACGTGATTAGAAAGACACCTAAATAATACCTGTGCATAATAAATAAAGGTAACACGTAACACACAATTATTTTCTTTAAAAAAGATGACTCTCTTCTCCCTAGCTAGACCCTGACGCAAACTTGATAGTCAAGGAAGGACTCACACAGACTCCTGTGAGCACAAGCTTTTGGAACTGACATTGCATTTGGGCATTCAACTGGGTATATTTCCAAAATATCCCTTTAGCTCAATGAGAGATTGTGACATAAATGAATACAAAAAGAAGCTGAAGCTTTTGTTTCACAGTTCTGTGAGTATGTGGCTTGAGAGGCACTTCTTGCAAAGTACAACTCCAGGATGAAGGAAAAACGCTGTGTAAATAAATTCTCTCCCCCTTAACACTGGCCAGGTCTGGAGACCAGCCAGTGGTTGGGCAGGACTTGACATCAAGTCTGCTGTGACCCAAAACCAAAAAAGAAATAATAACGTCAGAAAAATCCTACCTCCTTTAACCATACCATTTTCAAAAGTGAAGAAAAAAATAATGTTTAAGAAGTTCCACAGTTAGCACATTTCAAAATGCACATGGCAAATATTATACACTCAAACCACTGACTGGGGCACTACAATCCATGGACAGGGTAAGGAAGCGATCAGTTCCCCAGATTATTTTTAATGACACAGAAGATAGCAATCCACACCATTCCCACTGCTTTCTTTGGAAGCTCTCCAACAAAAAGCCTCTGGCATAAATCATTCTTGCGCTCCTCTGGGTGGCAAGTAGTTCCAGTCAAGGCAGGAGACCTGTCACATTATACCTCCTGAGGACTGGCCAGATAATGGGGTTTTTGGTCTAATCCTACTCTACATTCATACGAACATCACCATGTGATTCACTGCACTGCAGCACAAACCCAAGTCACTCACAGATCAGCCCAACAGAGGAGCAGATACAATAATGTAAGTCAAGATTAGCACATGCTGGCAAAGTTCTGCAGCAAAGCCTGCTCGGTGCCTTCCCCTATGACATCTCCCTGAACAACTCACTCGCTTGGTATGATAAGCATTACAGTCCCTTTTACCACAAAGTGTGGTTTAACTTAACAGATATTACAGCATATCTCATTGTATATTAAATCATCAGTATTTTGCACACGCGCACTGCATTCTTCTGCCAGAAAAATCACTTCAATATTCCCACTAGTATTACAGCAACTAATACTCTGGAAGTGCTTATAAAATCCTAGAAATTAAGAATCCACATACACTTCAGTTGAAAAAGATGACAGTTTATTCTTGGGCAGAGAAACACCTTGCCAAGTTTCAGTCTGAAGCACTTTTATAGCTGGTAACAATTCTGAAAATTAGATTTATGATGGAAATCCTGACACAAACTGTAGAGCAGGTTGTTCTGTGCTACCGCACACTATTAGAAGTTTTTCTCTTTGTCACATCACCTCTGTATTTTTATTTCTAGAGGAAAACTAAACGTAATTTTTATCATACAAAAAACTCAAAAGAAATATTTAAAACATGAAAACAGTGGTTTAAGTTTCCTCCCTACACACAATCCCTTACAGCTTATCATTAAATTATGGGAGTAGGGACTGTCATCTACAATGCCAACAGTCCTGTGCTGTTCCTTTACCTTCCACATCCACAAAGACAGAACTGCAGACATCACTCTCCTTTCCTGAAAACTAAATAAAATTCATTTATGAATATGCAAGTACCCTTATTTTCCTGAGAAATGACAGCCCCAGCAAAAGATGAGAATAAAACAACCAATGACAACATACATCCCAAGAAAACAGACCTCAGCAGATTCCTGGGATACTGGTTGTAGACTAGAAATCATGCTGCATTTTATTTTCAAGCCTCTTGACCATGAAAATCCTATATTCAATTAAATGAAATTCTGTGTTATTCTGAGACAAGTAGGAATGTAATTTTTCGTTGTATAAGGGGAAACTGTAATGGTATGTAGCTTCATTCCTCCTGCAAAAAGAGCCCTAATGCTAAAAATACAGCCCAAAAATATTGCTGGTGATTGTAGATATGCTGCAAACACCCGTAAGGTATCGTTTGCCTCCTTATCACCATTGCTGAGACACAAAAATGACTCACAACTGCAGTCAGTGATGTTCCAGAAGGAAATATACAGGTCTTTTTTCATTGTTAAGGCATTAAGAGATGTCTGAGACCATCAAATTACTGTTCTTAGACCTTTAAATTAGAAATAATGGGGCATCACACGGTCAAATGGCTTGGCAACAATGGACAGTTTGCATTCTGGCTGTACAGAGCAGGCAGCTGCTATAGTGATTAATTACGTGCTTTTAGTGCACCTTGTATGGCACTTTGTGTAAAGTTTCTAAATCTCAAGGAAGATTTACCACTGTCTAGAAGATCAGCTGCTCATCTGTGCAGTCAAATACAGCAAACAGTTAGGAACTCACAAAAAGCTGATTTCTAAGCCTAAAGATACACTGAGAGAATAATTTGATCATCTTTCACTGCCCCTGACACAAGCTCCCCAGTAGCACTGAATAAATTGCAAATATATTGATTCTGAGCAGAAATAAGCCTTAATCAAAATAACCCAACGCTTGATGAAGACGTTACGTATATTTCTGCCTTCCACTAGTATTAAAATAAATAGGAATATGGAGAATAAGGTTTGTTCTCACGTTCCTCAGAAACTCCTTTTTGATTTAAGACTACAGGGAAAGTGAAACAACAGCCAGATTCAGATTTTGAACTCACACACTGGTAACTCTTTAATGAAAGTCAGGCAACATCACCTTCCACGGGGAGAATTTTGTTGAAACCATTTATCATGCGCTCACCAAACACTAGATGCCACCACTGATGTGCCTGGACAACTCAAAACACAGCTGACCAAACACAGCTCACCTCTGGAAACTTCCCATTGCACCGCTGGGGTTACGGAATGAGTTTCTGGAGAGGAGCCCTGTTCTGAGGAGATGCCACGCTGGGTTTGTTGCTCCAGCAGCAGCATAGGGCCTGCCAGGCCAAGCAGCCAACCAGTTCTCATGATGGACCTCCAGCCTGGGTCCTACCTCTCACGTACACTAAAAATTGCATTATGCTCAGTCTAGCACACACAGATTGGAAAATGCTGCTTTGCATGTACAGCATTCCTGTTTATTCACCCTGAGCATGGCACAGCTTGGTTGGGAGCACTAGCTCCCTTCTGACAAAAATACAGCCATCCTGACACACAAGATGTTGTCCTTCTCTTCAGCCAGCCACCAGCTACACTTCATATGCCTGATGCAATAAAAATCACAAAGGATTCCTGACTTACCTCACACCAGCTTTTGCATCAGTGTAACACCGCTGACTTCAGTGGGATTTAATCCTGATTTAAACGCATTGCATGTCACAAAAAGCTGCAGAATTTTAGTGTTTCTGCTAAAGAATAGTGCTACAGGGAGAAACAGATGGAGGAGGTTAGGTATCACTCTGCCCAGTGCTGGTGTACCAGCATTTTCCAAATATCTCCTCTATTTTTTCACCACCCGGAGGTCTATTTGTGGAAGAACAAGTAGATTTTAAGTAGCAGTACAGGCACTATAGCTGTGACTCATTCCTCACATCACATAAACACTACATCCACTGACTTACTTTACCTTCCTTCAGCAGGAATAGCTGCCTGTGCTTTTAAATTGCTGTCACCTCCATGTGAGTCCAGTCTGATGCAAGGGCTCTCTGAGTTTGTGTCCAGGCCACCACTTCTTCTCCTGCAGCCTTATCCTCAGAACGAGAATCAAAGATGCCATGCATCAATTTGCCACTCTTTCAGCCACAAAAATCTCTCAGAGTGTATTCCAAGGAGCTGTTTATTTTGCTAGGCTCCTGGACAAACAGCAACATAACCTCAAGAAGAGACTTGAAGAGAAGATCTGCTGAACAGCGAGTTGACACACGTGGCAGCACCAGAGCCTGCATTCAGGACTGCCTTCATCTCATAAAACCTGGTTTTCTCACAGTGCATGGCAGGTAGCAGATGTGGTCTCAGGGAACACACTTGGATAGAAGTTTTCCAAGAAAATCTGGATTGATATAATATAGCCATGCATGGAGAAAGTTCATTTGCTTCCCTCCCTCATACAAGCCCTTCACAAGCCATTGAGATCCATGTTCTGCAAGCAGCTGTAGGGTTCAGATGGAGAGCATTAGGCAAGGTTAAGCAACTTTCAACTCGCTGGATTATGAATCTGTTCAAACCCACATTCTTTTCTTTCCACAGGTCCAACACAGGAATATTTAGCATGGAAACCATTTTCCCAAAACCAAGTCAACCTAAACACCAGAGACCTCTGTGCACAGAGAACCATTTCTGCCCCACATCAGCTGAGGCTGAGAGAGAGCAGATCTCATGTTTGGAACCCCACATCTTCAATTACCAAAGTCCTAAAACTCAGTGCAAACCACACCAGGCCTGGGTGACAGGGAAGTTACTGTCACTGTCATCTTGCTTCTGGGTGCAGCTCAAAGCTGCCACCTTGCCCACAGAGCTGACCTGGTAAGACCACCCTGATAATGCAGCAGCCCTCCACTGCATTAATGTTTCCTTACACTCTGCAGTAATTGACAGCCTGCTGGGCTTAAATTTAAAAAAATCCACAAATTCCTTAAAAAAAAAAAATCATTATATTATAAACCGTACTGAAAAGTTTTAACAATACTCACAAAACTATCTATACAGAATCTATACAGAAATAACATCTGTGTACATTGAGTGTAATCACAAAAGAAGAATGAGAAATTTAAGTAGCTCCATTATTTGCTTGCTCTCTTAGGACCACACTAATATTTGGCTCCTTTCCCTTCAACATCTTGCATTTA